TAGTTTATTAATTTCTACAAGACTGCAATTAATATTTACCTCGTTAATAAATAATTGCAACTACACTCTTATAGAATAATTTATCATTTCTAGGCATCAAATCAAGTTATTCAGTCGTCTTGAAGACAAACACCCTGGTTATTTTGATTTCTTTATGCTCCTTTTAATTACTCAATTCATCATTCGAAACTGTTTTCATATTCACTTGTGGAGTTGTTATTTCATCATGCAATTCTATCACTTAATCAGTCTTATATTGGTACCCTGAAATATAAACATATGTGTGTCAATATACTATCGCAGATTTATTATGACAGTGTAATTGAATGGTAATATTTATTCAATCAATTTGCTTTTTATTAAACAGAAAGTCATCATGGCTTAATTTAAATACAAATATAATTCAATACCACTTCAAAATATAGTGATCTATTAGCCTCCCTTCTGAAAAGGTTACTGAAATGTAAGTGAACTTGGTTAATTGGTTTCATGGTTGTTATTCTTGACAGTGGAACATTAGGGTAAATAAATCATTCGAATTTCAAATAAACTTTCTTATTTATTCCTTATTGAGTGACGCAGGATCTAAGAAAGTTGTTCATATTAAAAACGATCTCATTGTGACGTTTAAATTAGGCAAATTTGAACTTCAGCCTAAAATAGACACCTTGTTCTAATAACATTGGCAGTAAAATCTCCAACATTCTTGACCAAACAATAGAATTTTCATGACAAAACTAGTGGGACAAAACATCGTAAATTGTGTTGAGTAAAATGTTTTTTCCTTAACGCTTTCTCTGTCTGTTTTTAGTTGAACCATATTCAACTAATCAAACGTAAACCTGACGTACCAATACTCATTCAGTACAGCTCACACATACGATTTTACCTATTATTGTTCTTTTGTTTTTCCTCACTCCTTTTCTCAAACATATGCTTCAATTTCAAATTATCTGAACACTTCTAGTTACGCAATACTAATAATTTCCAATAATTATAAATTCATTGTCCGTTTTCTCAATTCATTCACCTACTTCCTATCATGAAATATTGATTTGAAATTTCATTATTCTTATCACAATTGGTACATCTGTCGTCACACTATCAATTTATACTTCATAATTGTCATGTTCATTTGTTTAATTAACTTTTTTGTTATCACTTACTCTTAAACGACCTTGATTGGTTTGATATATCTACATATGGATATAGATATTAAGGTATAATAAGATGAAACATGATGAAGGCCCAGTTGAAAACAATATTGTTTGCTTATACATGTTTAATTCACAGTATGAAGACTTTTGACTTTCGCGTTTGAAAAACCATACTATGGTCAACAATCAATAGACAAATATGGTTTATGGTTTTAAACTTTTATCATTGTGACTTGTACTTACTTACTTGCTTACTTACTTATTCTTGTTACTCCTCTTGGGTGAGCATAGTCTGCTCACCAGCATTCGCCATCGAAATCTGTCCCGAGAAATCCTTCCAGTTGTTCCCAGTTGCTACTTATCCTTTTCATATCGGCTTCCAATTCTCAACACCGTGTGTTCGATTGCCTTATTTTCCGTTCCCCATTAGAGTTCCAAGTTAGCGCTTGCTTCGTGGTGCAGTTTGATGATTTCCGTAATGTGTGTTCTATCTACCTTCAAAGTCTTTTTCTAATTTCATCTTCAGCTGGAAGTTGATTTGTTCTCTACTACAGTAGATTGTTGCTGATGGTATCTGGTCAACGGGCATTTAGTATCTCATGTAAACTACTGTTTGTACATACTTGTGCCTTTTTGATTATGATTGTAATAGTTTTCCACGTTTCAGCTCCGTACAGTGGAACTGTCTTGACGTTCATGTTGAAGATTCCGATTTTGATATTGGTTGATAGCTGTTTGGATTTCCTTATGTTCTTCAACTGTAAGAATAAGGTTCTTGCTTTGCCAATCCTTGCATTTACGTCGGCATCGGATCCTCCTCGTCCATAGATGATATTGCTACTCGGGTACGTGGAAGATTACACGTTTACCAGAGTTCCTCCACTAAGTGTGATTGTGTTGTTTTCCGTGTTGCGTTTGACGATCTTGGTTTCCCCTTGTGTATGTTGAGGTCTACTGATGCAAAGAATGCTACTACACTGATTGTTTTGACCTGCATTTGTTGGTGTGTGTGGAATAGAAGGGCGAATCATGTGCGGTGTTCAAATCGTCTAGTCGCATCCAATCTGTCTATTGTATTCTGTGCTTTCCGTCAGATATTAAAGTCTTTATAATCCATTCAACCACTCAAATAAAGAGAAAATTTGGGAGCAAGCAACCTTGTGTGACACCTGTCTTCACTTGGAATGCGTCTGTCAACTGCCCTCAATGTATAACATTGCGGTGTAGTCCGTCGTATGAATTTCGGATGGTGCTGACGATTTTCTGATGTAAACCATAGTATCGAAAAAGGTTATATGGGGTTCTCCTATCCACCCTATCAAATGCGTTTTTATAGTCAAGGAAGTTGATTGTTATGCGTAACGAACTAAAAATTGTTTTTAATGAATAAATCACTAGAAATTTGGGCGAGACTATAATATACTAGCGATCCAATCAGATGCAAGATGACAGCTCTCAGACTTTGGCGCAAAATCCACTCATCCGTTTGGCTAAATAGAGTTTTGGCATTATAGCTTAGGTCAGTTCGTGATGAAAACCTTAAACCTAATTCCTAAACTTAACCATCAACTTTAAATAATAATTATAATTTCTCACGCTGGTTTATAACCCTCATTTGGTCCTAGTTATTAGTAGGTGAACACTCTCAAGGTCACTTGAGCGTCATTCACAGGTCATCCATAAGTTATAGTCTCTCCGAAATTTGAACTTTTTTTAAACAGATCTATCACCAGCCTAGGAGTAACTTTTATTCAGCCTGAAGTTCTATCAAGTATTTTCAAATATCTGACTTGTTTAATTATGAGCAACTACTCAATAATTAATGAGAGGACATATAATCTAGGGAGACCGAATGCACAGAAATCTTATTTATTTAAAATGCAACTAGGAAAAACTTGATTTATTCCCATCATTTAATTAGACTTATGAATAGTATCATTGTTAGACAATCTCATGTATTTCTCTATTAGTTCAAAATATCTTGATAATAATAGTAGAAAATCTTGATTAATAAACTTTGAAGTTAAAATTAGTCAGTCATCATTTGATGCACTGCATACTTTTGTGAATAAAAAGTTTTGATCTTTTAAAGTTATAAAGGTGAAGACATTTAAACAAATCCAATAATTCATATGGCTTGGTCATTTTAATTCATCCACATAACATATTCACTTTCTAATTATATCGTTAACAGTGTTATGAACTTCTATTACTAAGTACATTCTTTATCAGATTACTTTACCATTAAATATATAGGTGATATGCTAGAATGACTTTATTCTAATAATAGTTAACATTTTCTAAATATAGATAAAAATTTATCTATAGTTCAGTATTTTTTTTGTTAACCCCCATGTTTTAACCTAATTCACAATGCTTTACAATCGGTAATTTAACAGTAATTATTTTCAAGTGAAATCATTTTGTATATAACTTTATGAACTTTTTAATTAGTTCCTACCACAAACTGCCACCGTTAGAAAAGTGCAGAGCATAGTTTGAAAAATATCTTGTCTTCATTAACAATTTCTGAGTGCTTCATACTCATAATCACATAGGATGTTAAGTTAACAATGCTTGAGTTTTGAAATCTTCACGCTACTTGACTTTCTGGTTTTTAGTGATTTTTCTGATAAGGCACGTTAGTGGTGAAAACTACTTTCGGAATCTTATGTCACTTTTTTTAAAAAGTAAAATTACATTTTGGGCGCATATACACTCATACATTAGCTTCTGAACAAAAATATACTTGAGGCTTATACTTCCGTTTTAAGGGATTGGGTTACTTTGTATAGTTTCCTAAATACAAATGACTGTAATAATGTTTTTACCGAAGGCTAGAATAACAAGATCTGTAGAGTAGAACGAACCTATTCCTCTCTTCTTTGACTTCTCATAACAACGTTACAAGTGCAACATAGTTGTTTGAGACTTGAAAGAACATAATCAGAAAAGGAAGAAGATACAGGGTATAACAATAAACATAATATCTAAGCTTAATTTGTATCGATTTGTTGAAGAATAATCACCAAAAGTTCATTTTTGATAAACAACTAGTTAGTTTAAATAATCACTAACATTAATATATTATAAACCAACACAACTATAATTTTCAACTGCATACAATATTCTTCACAACCATATATAGTGTGCTACAAATGAGCTTCGGATATTGTTTGTTTACAGATAAATATACTTCTATATAACATGGCAGATTTTATCATTGAGTTATATGTTCTACTTGATCGAGGATCAGAAGAATACAACTGTGACATTAGCTAAAAAACCTAGAAGACAAATAATATAACTGGTAAACATAATGCTATCCAGTTGGTCTACTGTGAAAGACCTGTATTAAGCATTGAAGTTAATGTCGATGTAAAAGTATGATTTCTTTCGAAGTAGATGCCGGTAATAAATAGCTCTTCATTGGCTTAGTCAAAATATTCTGTCAGGCTAAACAGTTAAGCAGTGGTCAAGTATAATCTCCTTGATAAATTTTACCCTATACCTATTGGGAAGAGCTGACTAGAAATGGTTTGTAAATCGAATTGTATGTTTCCACCACTTATGATTCTCGAGATCTTGGGAATAGTGAAATTTAATACTGATTCATTTCCTGTTCACTATTGGATTTCCGTGTTATTGTAACATGTGAATAATTGAACTGCTGTTGTTTATATGAGTTTCTGCAATGTTCTGTCTGTCAGTATTCTAACTTCTCTTTCTTTCACAGTCAATAAAATATTTAAATAGCTCATTTTTTTTACTTATTACATGTAGTCATTTTAATGTTTTCGTAGGTCTCTTTTGTTCAAACTAGTGGAAATTCCTGCTTATCAGATGATTGAGACATCAAATATCACACACAAAACAGTTACAGAATTTGGTTGCGTCCAGAATGACAGTAAAATTGACCGGTACATAAACGATCATTCTTTACGTTTATCAGACGCTCAAAAATGGCTTTTAAAGGTAATCATCATCATGGCTATCACTAATTTTTTCTTAGAAAACAAAAGATGATCCTAAAGCATATTACTTGATATCAAGTCTTGAAATGCAACTTTTATCTAATATGTGCTATGCAATAAATGCCAGAAAGACAATTGATATTGGTAAGTACTTATTTATATCTAATTATATGTATGTATCTTGATGATGTGTATTCATTTAGATAGCTCGATTTTATCTAATGGTACCTTTTACATTATTTTCGAGGAAAGTATATCCTATCTATTCTCGAAAAACATTTCCTAGAAAATCTCTTTATTGTATTGTTACTGTTATTCGATAAGTGATTCATTGTCTTTAAGTGTACTATGTATGCGTATTCTTTGTATACAGATAATATCAAAAAACTCAGTGATTCAAAGGTGGAAAGCTTGTCGGGAACAACTAAGGCCATGTATGATAGAACACCTAGTTTCGTTATCGGCTTTTGCGATTAATCTGGGTGTTCGTGGCCAATTATAAAAAGCAAATATTGAATTCGCTATGTAAACGAACTAGCTGTTATCGTTAAAAATACTTATAATTTGATTAGCAGCATCTTTGATGACACAAAATTCAACTTAATAATAAAACCAGACAAAAAGCCACCATTTTTGCATAAACCAGTCACTAGGACTAATATGGGAAAACTTAAAACTCAATTGTATTAAAAGTCTGTGTGTTATAACTTATAGTCTGTGTGCCCTGATAATGTATAACGTGATGATACCGCCAATTAGAGAGCAGTGAATTATCGATCGGACCAGTGACGTACAAAACGCGTACGAGATGTCTAGAGTACTTATCGGTCCTGCTTCCTGCCTAGCCCAGCCAGTTAAGTCCAGAACACCAATTTCAGCCTCTGCAATATGAATTATGTATTCCAAACATACTGGATTTACATACCAACCAGACAGACCGCATCGTTACCATAAAATAGGAAACAACATTTGTACAAGATTTAGCCAAATGTGGCTGTGGATGGGGTAGGTAGTAATTAATAGACAGGACATAACTCGAGAATGGTAAATGGTATAATAATAGTTCATAGGTCAAAACAAATCTCATAATAAGAGGAAAATGAATATGAACAGTTTAGTTATTTAACAATCATACGACAAAAATATACGCATAGTATTGGACCGTTAATGGATCCCAAAAGTTACCATTCATTATTCTTATCGGGATAAAAACTGTCCATATTGATGAAATACTCAAATACAGTCACAACAATGACCTAGTGATTCATTAAATCATCTGAACACAAACCTTATTCAGAAGAATGAAGGGATATTATAGCATAGAGATTACATGAAGAAAGGAAACAAGACACTTAATGGATGTATTCTAGAAAAAATGGTTACTCACAAAAATTTGCCAAGAAATATCTATCAAACAGACTATGGAACACCAAGTCAGCAGCAAAAGTAGGCAAACGGATAACTTTACTCAATATAAAAAATATCTTCAAAATTACAAACGGATTAATAAGGCAACTAGGGATAAGTGTAACCCACAAAATTAAGAATGTTTTGGGATCGCTACTGTACATATTAAAAGCACCACGACAGATGAAAAAATGAAAAAACGAAGTCCCACCATCCTCAACGAATACTATAAAGTATCTGCTCTCTTCGTCTTTGCTTTCATGAGCACCAGTTATCCGTTAATAGTGCAAAATCTATCAGTCAATAGGAAAACGGATTAGGAACTGTGATGCAAGAAATCAGATGAGGATGGAAAACAATTAGAATAAACAAACAATTAATGATGACATAGTTATGGATAAGCATTAACCTAATTTCAGATAAACAAAACAGGCGAATAATCAATTCATAAAGAGATTTCAATAACTCCCTTTTCTTTGAAATATCTCTTGACAATGTTTCCAGGAAAGAAAATTGAAGCTTAGTAACTAAATTCTCCATTTCAGAGAACACAACACCTCCAATATTTACAGTTATCTTCAAAATTAGTGTATATTTGAGATTTAGGTAACATCTTTTGCGTTGGCTATCTTTTAAAAAAGATTAACAGATGTAGTTAAACATAAAATGAGTATCGGTATCTATTATCTTCAGAGTCTTGTTCCATCTGAAATACTGTTGCATAATTTTGTGTAGGTTATATTTTCAAAATATTCACTTTTGTCTTCAAATGAAAAGTGTTATATAATACGGTAAGATGAAATTTGTTCTGAATTTGTGATTCTCATTACATTCCCTATACCAATTCATGGGACTAACTGCTATCAATAATTAAATTAATTCACTTGGTATTGATTGGCTTGTATCTTTCCATCGAAGTTTAAGACTGCAGTTGATCAGTCTGTTATTGGCATATGTGGATACTGTGCATATGCCTAGATATTGCCTTAATTCACAAGCTTTTTGTAAGCGATGGTGAATAGTGGCTGGCAGTGGAATCCAGGACGCTCGTTTCGTCCTATTTGGGACTCGTCGGCTGGATGTACCTGGATCTCAGAGTTGATGTTCACTCTGGGACTCGAACCCAGTGCCATTCGCTTCAAACGCCATCGCGTTATACACCGATCTACTGAGTCCTGATAGCCAATTAATTATCAAACCATATAACATTCAGATCTTAACGATCAAATGAGAAATAGCAAAGAAAAAATTTTTATCGAAAATATAGTTTCGATAGAACAATGAGAAGACGGAGTTGATCTGAAAAATGTGATGTATTTACGCTATACATTTCGAACAATCTGGTCACTCATATACTTGTCAAGTCATTTTTATATGAAAATTAATAAAGTTCAGTTAAATAAAAGTTCAAGTAAAATAACAAACGGGAGAGAAAGAGTAAGAAATTGTCGCGTTATCCTAAGCCATAGAGTGACTTAGGGATTACCAAGGTAAATCCAAGGTTACGACAAATTGTTTTTGTACACATAAGGGGAGTTTAAATTTATGAATAGCCAAGCCTTCAATAAACCTGGGAATTCGTACTCGACAATTTCTATACAACGTTTTAAAAGCTGTATTAATGTCAATTTTGTGCCCCGTTTCAATTATATGTTTCGCTATCGATGAACATGGTTTTCTACCTCCTACGTTTATCGGATCATTTGACACACATTGATTTTGAAGCTATCTAGGCATATGTTCAATGACCCTTGATTGTATTGTTCGATTACTCCTCCCTATATATGCGTGTCCACACAAGCATGTCAATTTGTAAATACAATCGGATGTGACGTAATCATTTGTGCATTATCTAGGTCTGTTTGGAATCATGGGCTTAGACTTTTCAATCACAACCAATTGAGCAGCATAATAGGTTTTCTTGATGGCTGCTTTCAACCTCTGTCTTAAAACAATGCTGTTGGATTAGACTCGATATTGTAGATGGATATAAACTTTCTTCTTTGGAACTAAATAAATAAGAGGTCTTGGTATTAACTGACTTTAGCACCTATTAATGAACTTTAGTGGATAACCGTTTGCTATTAATGTGTCAGTCAGTAACTTTTCATCTTTTTCCACTGTGTCAGCAGTGCAAATTCTTTGAGTCCTCTTATAGAGACACTTAATGAAGCTTCGCTTGTATTGCAATGGACAAAAACCTGGGGCGGAAGGCAGTGAATAGAACTCCATAACTTTTAAATCATTTTCTTTTGTCTTGATAAGTTACAAATCTTGATAACCTTAACTTCATAATCACATATTTACTCTTATATTTTATAATAATATAATTCACTGTATTGTATATATTTTTCAAAAAAAAAAATAGGAGTTTATACTGGATATAGTACATTGTCTATCGCTGAAGTATTACCTTCAGATGGTTGTGTGTTAGCCTTGGAGATAACAGATGCTTATCTAAAAGATTATTGTATACCGGCTTGGAAAATGGCAAATGTTGAGTCAAAAATCGACTTTCGACTTGGTACAGCAACTCAAACACTACGTAAGCATAGTATTAATGTATATAAACTATGTTTTATATGATTTCTCTCTTATATTTTTGATCTAATGATAACTGTGATGAAATTAAATAAAACCAATGTAACTTGTCCATTAATTTTAAAACCATATATATAACACAAATAGTAACACATATTAATGGAGTATTTAGACTGACAGTAAGTAATTTGGATGTTGACTATTGTGATATGCTTTACCTAACTGATTATATTAGCTATTTCGTCGCTTAGTTCATGCAGTAGATGGGTTCTGTACTTTTAAATAAAATAATACTCTCAGCGAGAGGTTTTGTGAAAATTGTAGTAATTTAATAATTGAATTCATGAGTCAATTGAAGCTAGACCACCGTAGAAAACCTGGGAGCACTGAGCGGCCATTTCGTCCTGGTACGGAAATCCTCAGCAGTGCGCATCCATTATCCTGCCCCACGAGATTCGAACACAGGACCTATCAGTCTCGTGCGCGAACGCTTAACCTTTAGACCATTGAGCCGGCCGGTAACCGACGGTGTCAATGTCTAACTTTAATCAATCCACGAAATTGCGACACCGTCCACCATTGTCTTAACCAAGTTACTATCTCACAACAAACCCGGTTGAACTCCATTGATCACTGCTTCTCAATAAAACTCCGGGAAATGATTATTACTATTTCTCACTAGAACTCCGGGTATTGATCTCCTACCAGGAGGTCCACTTATCGACTTAGAATACGCAGATGGCATAGTCCTGTTTGGTGAAGACGCTGAAAAAATGCAGAGTCTTCTGGTAGCACTGAGCAACAATGCTAGGATGTTTGGAATGCGCTTCTCTCCCTCTAAATGCAAGTTGTTGCTTCAGGACTGGTCTGCGTTAACACCTGAACTAAGGATAGGGAGTGAAGTAGTCGAACGCGTTGACAACTTCACTTATCTTGGAAGTCTGATCAGCCGTAATGGGTTGGTATCGGACGAAATCTCAGCACGGATTCGAAAAGCTCGATTGGCTTTTGCCAACTTGCGTCACCTATGGCGAAGGCGAGATATCCGTCTATCAATGAAAGGACGAGTATACTGCGTGGCAGTCCGTTCTGTTTTAATTTACGGCAGCGAAACATGGCCATTAAGAGTAGAAGACACTCGTAAGCTACTAGTATTTGACCACAGATGCCTTAGAAATATTGCCAACATCCGCTGCGATCACCGGGTAAATAATAGTGAGGTTAGATGCGGGGTATTAGGGAATGATGGTAAATCAGTTGATGAGGTTATGAATCTTCATCGACTGAGATGGTTGGGCCACGTGTTACGTATGCCTGAACACCGATTACCACGACGTGCAATGCTATCCGGTATTGGAAATGGTTGGAAGAAAGTTAGGGGCGGCCAAACCAAAACGTGGCATCAGTGCTTGAAGTCACTAACTTCTAGTCTGAGCCATGTTGGTAGATGCAGACTACTTGGTTGGGGTCCGCGTGACTATCGTAACCAATGGTTGGAGACTCTTGGTGACATGGCTCAGAATCGATCACAATGGCGTCGGTGTATACACTCCCTGTCTTCCCTTGAACTAAGAGATTAAAATCGCTTGATATCTTTCTTTCTACGAACCAATTTTTTCTTCTTGTACTATATCTGTATATGCAATCTTTCTCTTACATATTGCTACCTTTGACCTAACCACTGCTATGAATCCGGTGTTCATCTTGTTGTGCTGATGCGGTATGGCAACCTGGACCGATGCACATATGTGCCTGGTCCTACGTTGTAGCTGACTGACTGACTGACTAGAACTCCATGAAATAACTCTTGGAATCAGTCACTAGTGAGCATATGATAGGTCTTGGGTTTGAATCTCGCGCGGCGTGATGGTGAATGCTAGCTGCTGAGGAGTCCCATACTAGGTTGAAACGGCCGTGCAGTGCTTCCAGGTTTTCCATGGTGTTCTAGCTTTAATTATTAAAAATAATATACGTTCCGTATAAATATTCTAATTGAGAAATTAAAATGAATCGTATTGGTCAATGGATAATATTCGCGAAAATTTCAACTTTACATTTATAATCTCATTAACCTGTATATACGATAAATTGCTATTCGATTGAATACATTGACAATATATTGGTGAAGATTTATGAAACCACTTTCCATTGATAACGATCCATTCAATTTTGCATCATTATTTTTAATAAATCATGAAATTTAGTCTTTGAGGTGTTAAATATTCCTTTTTAATAACTTTCTTGTAAGAATCACTCATTAGATATATTACTTAATAAATATTTTATATAAATGTGAAAATAGTCTATCACCAAACGCGAGGTACAGAGGACTAACCAGCGTAGTTTTCGGACTCACTGAATAAATACGACTTTTATTTAATGTAAATAGGTGATGTTGCGGTGTATGCTACTTATATCGACATAATTAGTATATAACACGAGCCAGGAATATAATTTCTGACAGCAGAAGATTGAGAAAGAAATAACGGAACAGAAAACAATTGATATGGAAATGATGGGACAGTGAAGTATGAGACGAGTGATTGATCTTTTGCAAATGAAGTATTTATTGTATAGCTCTCAGATTTTACTAAGGTGTTCTGTAATTATGTGTATAAGTACATCCGTTTGTCCCCACTCGTGTTCTTGTTTACTACAGTATCATGAGGAAATCATTACTGTAGTGATAAATTATCTGAAAGAATATATTCATCAACTGACCAAATAAATATTAGTCATTGAAGGAACTACACTGTCCAAGTTACTTGATAAACTAGTCTGTAAATTATAAATAAATGATTATTTATGAATAAAACAAATAGTCACTGTATTTATTATGTAATGTAATCAAAAATTAAAATTAAACACTATTAATGCATATTAACTAATACAAGTAATGATGAACTTACTGTTATTAAACATTAGCATATTGAAACTCATAATGTTAGGCTCTATTTCTAAATATCCTTTTAATTGATTGTTGTTTTAAAGTACATATTCGATACAATAATAACAATAAGAATAATATTCAGAAGTGCGAATCCACGATCCCGCCCCCCTCGGTATTCGAATCCATGACCTATCGGTCTCGCGCCAGGCGCTTAACCAACTAGACCACTGAGCTGGCATCCAACGGTGTTAATGTCTAACTTCAAGCAATCCACGAAGTTGCGCCACCGTACACCATTGTCTTCAGTGAGTTCCTATCTCACAACAGACCTGGTTGAACTCCACTGGTAACGACTTCTCACTAGAACTCCAGGAGTATCTCCTGAAGTCAGTCACTAATGAGGAGGTGATTATTATTATCAGAATGTGTTTTGTGGAGATTTTTAGAAATTTCACTGGTGGATGCGCACTCCTGAGGAGTCCCATACTAGGACAAAACGGCCGTTTAGTGCTTCCAGGTTTTCCATGGTGGTCTAGCTTCAATTGACTCATGATTTCAACCAGTGAAATTTCTAAAAATCTCCACAAAACCCATTCTGATAATAAGAATAATCGTTTGTTTTTTTCAAAATTATATGTTTAGCATAATATGCAATTCTCAGGTATTATATCTTGTGGCCTTATACCCTGTTAATATATAACGGCCAATTAGAGAACAGAAACTTATCGACCGGACCAATGACACATATGCCCATATGAGCAGTTTAGAGTCTTTGTCGTTCCTTCTTCCTGCTTAGCTCTACCTGTTGAATCCAGAACACCAATCTCAGCCTTTGCGACATGAATAATGTATTTCAAGGTTTATGTACAAACCAAACAAACCACATCGTACCACAAGATAGGAAATAACATTTGTACAAGATCTAGCCAAAAGTGACTGTGAATGTGGGAGACTGTAATTAATTGACTGGGTATAACTCAAGAATGGTAAATCGTATAATAATAATAATAATCTATGAGTCAAAATAAGGCTTATAATAAGAGGGACATAAATATGCCTAATTTAGCTACTTAACAATTATACGGTAAAGATATATGTATCGTATTTGTCCATAAATAGTTCTCAAAAGTTACCATTCATAATTCTCGTCGGGATAATAAAAACAGGATACAGTATTTCACTACATTCCCCTTACTTTCATTGACATAATGAGAATATATGTACACATAAGTACATGAAATAAGTAAATTAAACTATGTATAATAAAATGATGTCCTCAGAAGATAAACTAAAAATCTTTGCAACAGAGAATAATCTTCCGGTTCAACAGTATAAGCTTTCGATAATGCAATGAGAAGACGAAGTTCATCAGAATTATGTAATAATAGATTTGCGCAATACATTTCGAACAATCTGATCACACCTAATATACTTGTTAAGAACCTTTATATATGAAAATTAAAAGGTCAACTAGACAGGTTAAGGGTAAGTCATAACAAAGGAAAAATAATAAAGTACACAAAAACAAATGTGATTACCACTCTGGATAATAAATCAGTATTACCAGGGTAGGTTAACTGTATGGACAAATTGTTTTTGAACACATAAACGGGGTTTCAATTTCCGTATAGCCAAGGTTTCAATAAACCTTAGTATACGTCCTTGAAGGCTTTTGTATAACACTACAAATGCTGATTTGATGTCAACTTTATGACCCGTCTCAATCAAATGTTTCGCAATGGCCATATCTTATAACCCGTTCGTTGAGTATTTAGTGTGCTACATACGGTTTTGTATAGCATTTATACCTTTGTTTGTATTCTTTTGGAAGATATGGAGATAGAAAGATATGAAAATACTGGATGGTTTGTAATTGATATAATAATACTTATCAATTGATTACAAGTTTTCAAATATCTGTCTACCACTATATTTATAATAATATCGAAAGATTTACCATTTACTCAACAAGTTGTATCTAAATAATGATACTTTTTTCAACATTAAAAGGTTACACAAATTATAACATGATCATTGTAGTGCCTTATCATCTAGTACATTTATTGCATATAAACTTTGAAAGTAGGTTAGTTTGATAATATAGAATGTACTTTTATCATCGGTAAATCATATACACTCAAAAATGTCCTGAATAATATAATGGTAATAGTTACTTATGTTTTTTTTGTTGGATGTTGTAAGTGTAAAAATGTGTAAGTCAGTAACAAATAGAATCAAATAGAACCGTTGGATGCCGGCTCAGTGGTCTAATGGTGAAGTGCTCGCGCGCGAAACCAGTAGGTCCTGGGTTCGAATCCCGCGAGGTGCGGGTTCGTGGATGAGCACTGCTGAGGAGTCCCATACTAGGACGAAACGGCCGTCCACTGCTTCCAGGTTTTCCATGGTGGTCTAGCTTCAATTGACTCATGATTTCAACTTGTGAAATTTCTAAGAGAGATCACAAAACCCATTCTGATAAGAATCAGCTATGTGCAACGCTTATAAGTTGATCAATAAACTCCTATTCTATAAGTTAAAAGTGAAAATATAGCTTAGTGATTAAAATTTAGTACTGAGCTAGTATTTATGGATAGATGTAGTTTAAAATTACAGACGTTCCCGATATGTTTTTCACCTATTAACTTTGTAATTTGGTTATAATTTAATTTCATTATATTTCTAGAAAATTTGATTGATAATGGACAAAGTGAAACATTCGATTTTGCTCTTATTGATGCTGATAAACAAAATTACAGTAATTATTATGAATTATGCCTTAAACTGATCCGACCTCGTGGTATAATCGCAATTGATAATGTATGTGTTTGTAGATTTTTCCTTCATTATATGAATAACCTTTAATTTTATCTGGTTTAAATATAGGTTAATTGTTATTTATATGAAGACATTAGTAAACAGATATGAAAAGTACTTAATGAATGATAACTATGCTAGTCTATTTAACTTTTCAGTATTGTTTAACTGTACATACTTTTCATTTTGTATTGTTTGTTCAAATCTTCCCATTGATGTGTTAAGATTGTAGTCGATCAGTCTCTTATTGCTATATGTGCATCCTGTACGGAATGCCTCGATATTGCCTTAAGTCACAAGCATTATAAGCAAAGATGGATGGTGGCTAGTAGTGAAATCCAGGACGCGCATACCATCCAATTTGGAACTGATCAATTGCAGGCCTGAACGTTAATAGGAAGATTCAAACAAACAATACGAAATGAATTTATACTTCATCTCATTATACAAGCTAATGGCTATCAGGACTCATTAGCTAAGTGGATAATACAATGGCATTTGAGGCGAGCGCCACTGAGTTCGAGTCCCAGGGTGAACATCTACCCTAGGATACAGGTAACCTCAGCTGACGAGTCCAAAATGGGACGAAACACTCGTTCTGGGTTACACTGTTAGCCACCACTCATCTTTGCTTATATTGTACATACTTTTATTTCATATGGTCAACTATAAAGTTGAAGAATATCATGAATATATTGTCTGTCATAAAACTCAAATGAAAGTTTCCCATGAAATCGGTTACATATTCGCCAGCGATGTTAGTTATAATTATTGCATTATTTCATGGATAAATGTTTTCACTTCTTCAATTCAAAGGTTAAAGAAATGTTCTATCATTAGTAGTAGTTATATAATTCACTAGAGGAAATACATAAACATTTTAATCACAGAAGGGTTTTTGTGGATATTATAGTAACTTAATAGTTGAATTCATGAGTCAATTGAAGCTAGACCTTCATGGAAAACCTAGAAGCACTGGACGTTCTATTGTGAGACTCCTCAGCAGTGGGCATCCATTATCCTGTCCCACGAGATTCGAACCCAGGACCTAGCAGTCTCATGCACGAGCGCTTAACCACTAGATTACTGAGTCCCATACTAGGATGAAACGGCCGTCCAGTGCTTCCAGGTTTTCCATAGTGGCCTAGCTTCAAATGGCTCATGAGTTCAACTATTCAATAAATATTTGTCTACTTTTGAAAAATCTGAAAACTTTCTTTTAAGAAATTTATCAAATTGTACATGATATTATTTTCTTAAATAGATGTTATCAAAGTTTATTTTTATCATTATTATTGCGGTAAACAATTCGATGTAAAGTAGTAGAATGAAAATATTGACATTTTATCATTTTATTTACGTTTTTTGTCGTTGTTTTTGTTGTTGTTGTCGTTATTTTTGTTGTTGTTGTTGTTGTCGTTATTTTTGTCGTTGTCGTCGTCATTGTTGTTGTTGTCAATACAATATCACACAAAACAATAGAACATGAATGATCAAATTTAGTTGTCTTTTAAAAGAAAATTATTCAAGTTATGAAATGTATATTATTTTTGTTGTGTATTGAATGAAAAGTCAGCTTATCATATTGTTCATTGTTTAATACATATAAGTAGTTGACGAGATTATAAGTTATGGATGAACCAATCAGGTATAAGATAACAGATCTCGGATTTTGGAGCGAAATTCATTCATCCATTTGATTAAATAGAGTTATGGTAGTATAACTGATGTTAGTTTGTGATGAAAAACCTTAAATTTAATTCCTAACCTTAATCATCGACTGTAAATTATAATTATAATTCTTTACACTAATTTATAACCCTCATTTGGTCCTAGTTAACAGGTAGACAATCTCAAGATCACATTAACGCCTTTCAAAGGTCGTCCATACATTATAGTCTTACTAAGTATTTCACATATTATAATAACTTATATTTAATCTGAGAACATATAAACGCAAATATCTAGAACAGTATCATTATGATGTTTTTGAAAAAAAAATGTGATTTTATGAACACAGATAATAATGAGCACTTATGAAATTTTACTCGGTCAGGAATGAAGTTTTTTGCTCTATTAAAAATTAACGGAATATAGGAAAGCAAAACTATTAGTTTCAGACTAGTAGTCTAAATGTGTCTCTATGGTTGTAAGGCATGAAACACCTGCCCTGATCTTATATGAGTTCGTGGGATGAGCCGTACTAAGGAATCCGGATCTAGAATGTAGTAACTGTTCAGTACTACTTTTTTCAATCCCTCTCCGATCTAAGTGAGTTAGTAAGAACAGCATTTAAAATGCATAATAATTCCTTACTTACTTACTTACTCCTGTTACACCTCGTGTAGGAGTATAGGCCACCTAACAGCACTCTCCATCCAACCCTGTCCTAAGCAATCCCTTCCAGCTTTTTTCAGTTCTTATTCATCCTTTTCATATCTGCTTCTACTTCTTGACATAATGTATTCTTTGGCCTTCCTCTTTTCCGCTTCCTTCCAGAATTCCAAGTTAGGGCTTGTCTCGTGATACAGTTTGGTGATTTTTGTAATGTATATTCTATCCACTTTGAATGTCTTTTCCTAATTTCCTCTTCAACTGGAAACTGGTTTGTTCTCTCCCACAGTAGGCTGTTGCTGATAGTATCCGGTCAATGGATGTTGAATATCTTGCGAAGACAACTAATTATAAATACTTGTACCTTCTTAATGATGGTTGTAGTAGCTCTCCAAGTTTTAGCTCCGTACAGTTGAACTATCTTGACGCTCGTATTGAAGATTATGACTCTAATAGTGGTTGAAAGACAATTGTTTTGAGTTCAATATGTTCTTGGATTGTAGGAATGTGACCCTTGTTTTGCCAATCCTCGCCTTTACATTTGCATCTGATCCTTCTTGTTCATCGATGATTCTTCCCTGGTACATGAAATATTCCACCTCTTCCAGAGTTTCGCTATCAAGTATGATTGGGTCGGTAAAATGCACAATAATCTTGACGGAATAACCTGTGCAAATAATACACAAGTTTTTTGTTTTAATTTCTTCCCAAGGTCATTTGGTCGGGACTTGTGGTCGATGAGACTGATCAAACCTCCGAAACTGTTGGTATAAGGGAAGTGAATGACTTGATAGCTGGAGATAATCGTGTACGAATCTCTTTGCTAAATCTTGGAGATGGGTTAACAATCGTTGTGAAAAAATGATCTTTGGGATACATATTCTACAAGCATACACATGTATTTGTACCTAAATGCATGTTGATACATAAACGTGGATATCGATTTAAGTTGGCATTCATATTTTTTTTTTGGTATAATCAACATTACGTAACCATATTTTTATTTGTCGAAATGTCATTTCATTTTCCAATATTAATGATATTGTAATAAATTCTTTCCATTGAACTCTTCAACTCATTATGAGAAAAAAAACGTGAAACAATATAGCTTGATCAATACTAATGATACTGAAGTACTAATTCTCAACAACGGGATATCGCTGAATCTTAAAAAATAAGATAAGTCTCCATACATATTCGAGTAAAATTGGTGTGACCATAATTTAGCGATGATTCAACAACAATATTAAAATGACTTAATGATTTTAAAGCTAGTTTTTAGCCACTGAACAAAAATTCTGTGTAAATGATAAGTATTTCGAGATAGAGTCGGTAAAACTTTATTATTAGTTTTTTTCAGAACTCATTAACAACTTACACATTCAATACTCATTCAATGAATCATGACGCAGAAAATAATGGCCAATTGACCTTTTTAAATATACTTTTAAGTCGAAGGGAGAATGATACTATAAGATGGTCAGTCTATAGGAAACCAAATTGGACGGGACAATACTTAAATTTCCATAGATTCTGTCCATTGCAATACAAGCGAAGCTCGATTAAGAGTCTCTTTAAGAGGACTCAAAGAATTTGCACTGCTGACACGGTTGGAAAAATGAAAAGTTACTGACTGACACATTAATAGTAAATGGTTTTCCACTAAAGTGAGTTAATACAAAGATCTCTTGTTTATTCTGTTCCAAAGAAGAAAGTTTATATCCATCTACAATATCGAGTCTAATCCAACAGCATAGTTTTAAGACAGAGGTTGAAAGCAGCCATCAAGAAAACCTATTATGCTGCTCAATTGGTTGTGATTGAAAGGTCTAAGCCCATGATTCCAAATAGACCTAGACAATGCACAAATGATTATGTCACATCCCATTGTATTTACAAATTGACATGCTTGTGTGGACACTTATATACAGGGAAGAGTAATCGAACAATACAGTCAAGAATCATTGAAAATGTGCCTAAATGGCTGCAAAACCAATTAGTGTCAAATGATCTGATCGGCGTAAGAGGTAGAAAACCATGTTCGTCGATAGCGAAACATGTAATTGAAACGAGGCACAAAATTAACATTAATACAACCTTTAAAACGTTGTATAGAAATTGTCGAGTACGAATTCACAGGTTTATTGAAGGCTTGGCTATTCATAAATTTAAAGCCCCCTTATATGTACAAAAACAATTTGTCGTAACCTTGAATTTACCTTGGTAATCCTTAAGTCACTCTATGGCTTAGGATAACGCGACAATTTCTTACTCTTTCTCTCCCGTTTGTTATTTTACTTGAACTTTTATTTAACTGTCCTTTATTAATTTTCATATAAAAATGCCCTTTAAATCCAATAATTCACCAGCTAGCCTATAATCAATGTGTCACTGATTAGATGATTCATTCAACAGTTTACTGAAAACAAAATGATTCAAGCAAACATTCCCTTAATTACACACTATGTATAACCTACATTAGGAAGATTTAAGTATTTGACACTGGCATTTTCATTCAATGATGATGAACATAATTTTTCTTATGATTCTCAATGTTCTCAATATAGTACAATAGTATTTATACAGTTCTTTTGATATAGTGGAAAATAAAACCTTCATTCTTAAATATCCTTCAAACAACTGGAAATTGTTTTTCCAACCCAAGCTAGTCCTTAATATCATAGTTTTGCAATTTAGTTTATCAACAATTAGTCATAAACCGTCCAATTTGTTTCTGCTTGAATTGAATACTTCACATAAATATTCCTAATCACAGGAAATATCTGTAATGTCATAAAAACTTTTGAAAGTCAAACTCGTAAATGTCAACACTTCAACAGTTTCTTTCTGCAATACAATGAAGCGTTTGATCAAAATATTGTCTTTTGGCATGTTTCTTCTGATAATATTGACAATTTTGTTAAATATATGAATTGTTTCAAATAAATAAGTAATTGATGTTATACAAACCAAGTCTTAAGTAAACGACAAATAGTAGCAGCCTCTACAATTTGTAGCGGCAAATAAATCCTCTTTAAGTCTTCGACATTAGACTGTAGTTACCTACTTTTATCAAGAGAACGCGATTGGTTTGATGGAAATAATTATTATTATAACCAATTTTACCAGTGATTGTTTTACTGTGTTTGTTTGTTTGTTTAACTGTACTGGAGACATACTTCTGTTGATTTTGACCTTGCTCGTTTTCGGTTACGCTCAGTAACCACACTTGTAACCTGGCACAATCTCGGTATTCTTTCGATACCACGAGATCGCCAGCAAATATATCTCGACTACAGCCATCAACTGCCTTCTGATATTTGGCTTATGGGGATTTTATCGGTTAACTGGCACGTAGTCTTCCCGTAGTGTGATCATAGTCAACCGCGACTCGACGCCACACTACAAGGTGCTGACCTAACTGAAGGCGCTCGGTCATGCATCCGCACCACATCACAAGTGGGAACGCCATGCTCAGTATACCCTGCAATCATTAGCCAGCGTAGATCAATAGATTCTCGATATATCGATAGCCTATCAAATATATTTTCGAACCTCCTGAACCCTGACTTTTGATTTCACTTGGTGGGTACGATTCATAGTAGGTGTTACTGGTTTAAGCGTTGTCAAACTACAAATACCTGTGGCAACTTCAAACTGAATTGATTCTAACAGATGGCTGTTAGGATATAGTAAATTATCCTCAAAGTTTGTCATCTTGATCACTAATCTTTATTTAAGATACTCTGTATTTACATTGGGACTGAGACACAAATCGGTGTCTTCCGCTTTTTAACAAATTTTTCGGTTGTTTTTATTAAAATCTTAGATACACCAGACCGCAGTATGCAAGGTTCGGTGTTCTTTATAGGTGCAAACGAATTTAAGTTGTGGAACCATTAGTATTTGTTCGTTCTTACCAAAGTGATTTCTTTTAGAAACCTATTAGTCCGTTTTTGACTGGTTCATTTTCGTCATGTGTTGTTTCTCACTGCACACTTTCATCGTAGTTAAAGTATAAAACTGTAGAAGCATACCAATTAAAAATATCAATATTGTTTATGGTTGTCATTAACATATGGACGTTTGTTCGTTATGCACTTGATCAATATAAATATTGCTTTGTGCTGATAGTTGTGGCTCGTAACTGTTAGCAAGTCCATAGCCTGTACAGCCAGTTGTCTGTTTTTTCCTTAGTGGTTGGTGTCTAAGTTCGAGAATAGAGTTTCAAGGTAGATCGTTGTCCATCTGTACATCAAACACGACAGGGGGTATTTTTTGAGCAAATGAATTTGGCAATTCCGTGGATATAAGTGAGCAGTCAACAATGTACAGGAAAGAAAGAAATCAGCTCACCAAGAGTACAATTCAAGAGCTGAATTGACTGTCGGCTAAGGCACACTTATCTTACCCTATTAAAGTCCGATCGTGTACATGTTGCGTATTTCAGCTTTTATTTCACTGTTACTTAAAGGTGTATCCGAATGTTTCCTTCGAATGATTTGCATCTGCATGTATTTTAAATAATGATATATTTTTGGGGCTATTGGTTTGTCTAGACTTATCAAACGTCATGTAGTAGCACTTGTTATGTGGAAAATTCTAGGAACTCCAATATCCTTGTAATGGGGAATGATTCAGTGACGTACTTCACTTTAGGGACACAAAAATACGATGACAAACAACATTTCGTGTACAGAACCGTAAAATCCGTACAAAAATAAGATGGATGGGATATTAGACAACTTCTATGTTATTTACAATAACTAGTTACGATAATAATTTGTACTATTAATCGTCAAATAATAGGAGTGGCCCTAGTAACACAGATATAGTGCTTTTTCGAAAAATGATAGAAACGTAACGAGTCGGTGCTTTGCATATGTGATTAGTTAGCAGTCCGAAACAACAAACCCTAGTAATAGATCCAGTCAATTAAATGAAAACAGAACTAATCATCAATACATTACTCGATTAGGAGCCCCTAGAAATCAACAATGTTAGTCAGCACAAAATCGGAGCAGTAGTCGAAAACCACAACGACATCAGAAGGCTTAGATTGCACTGAAGATGAACAATGCTAATCCCGTGTTATCCGAAAGGGAAATGAAAAATGTAAATGAGGGTGCAAGAGACATTTTGCGTTTACATGTTTTGATGTGTGTGGAAATCCCCGTGGCCGCACTCAATATAGAGGAGTTTCTCCATTTCCTTTTTTTATTTACATATATTGAGTTCAAATATTTTAATTTGTTTGCAGTCATCATGTTGTTGTAGTGCTTGCAGATTCTACGATAGACTAACTACGTTATGTCTTTGAGTTTTTAAAGGTGTTTCATGTTTATTTTTTCAACGTTGTCTTTTAACAGTTGATATATTGTGTGACTGTAGTTCTGTTATTCTTATGTGAAATGATAATTTTTATCCCATTCCACTAAGACTGAAACGTGTTTCCTATTTGTTGGGAACATTTGGTGGTAATATTCAGCATTCAATTGTATCATTCAACCTACATACCTATTGTCTTTGTGTGGAATGTTTCATGGATGACCGAAATATCTTTTCCTATTATGACAACTGAGTTCTATCAAGTCATGTTATAACTGGTGCCTGTGTCTGTGAAAAACTGTACAGTTCAGACTTATTTTTTGGTTCGTACTTTCATTTTCTTTCATAGTACATCTTCTGCACCCTTTTTCATTAACCTATGTTATTATGAAAACACTAATGATCACTATCATCCTTGTGTTCTACTTGTACTCGAAGGGGATTTAGTGAGAAAACCAACGGCATATATTTACTGAAGTTCCTCAGGTTTAGATTTTACGGAAGACGCTAAAAATGGAACAAAGATTTTTGGTTATGCAGACCACATACATAAATACAGATAACTAAATAAACGTTAAATATAAAGAAAACAAAGGAATTCGTGTATAAGAGGATTTTTCCGGATTCACACATTGAAATGTCCGAGACAGATTTTGCAGCGTTAATCGACTTCG